TGCATGAATCTGTTTTTACTCTTGTCACAGGGGTAAAAGAAGCTAAACGTGTATGGGAAATTCTTGAAACCAGATTTGAGGGAACTAGTGATGTCAAGCAGTCGAAGCTACAAATGGTACTGTCAGAATTCGAAGCCCTTAGAATGAATGAAGAGGAAACCATTTCGACCTTTCACAGTTGGGTTTAGAATCTGATGAACAGAGCCTCAATTTTTGCTGAACCATTCACTGATGAGAGAGTAGTCAAAAAGATCCTTCGATCTTTTCCTAAACGCTTCCAGAGAAGGAAAACTGATAAAGGAATTGGTCGGTCTGAAGAAAAATATCCAGATGATGGACACCACATCAACCTTAGACAAGATTCTAGACTCAGGCAGAAATCCTAATGATAAAAAAGGTCTAGGATTTGAACGAGGTGAATCTTCGAATAATGCACCTATGTTTGTCAAAGAGGGTGTGTTTAATGCCACAGCAGTTCACAGCTTTGAACAAGGACAGTCATCTCGGTCAGTGCAGAAAATTGACAAGAGAAGGAGATATGACCAGACTGCAGATACTGACCTTGTCAAAGTAACTCATCAATCTCATTATTCAAGGTTCAAAAATAAGTTTGTCAGAGTTAGACAATACACTCCCATTTGCCACTACTGTCAAACAAAAGGTCATACTCGGCCTGAGTGTTATTTTTTCTACAGAGATCAAAGGAAGGAAAAATATCAGAACAAGACTATTACACCGTTTACTAGACAGGTTTAGGTCAGAAAGTCAGAAGTTATATGCTACCCCACTATAGTTCTGACTGCATCTACAACTGAAGCTAGATGGTATTTTGATAGTGGCTGTTCCAAACATATGACTGGAAATGTAAAGTTCTCATGGCTGTTCAACCAAGCAATGGATCTGTAACATATGGCGATGGACAAAAAGGGAAAATAGTTGGGAAAGGTACCCTGAATGTACCAGGTTTGCCTCAATTAGAAGAAGCTCTGTTAGTCAGTGGGTTGAAAGCTAATCTGATTAGCATCAGTCAGTTGTGTGATCAAAATTGGAATGTGTGCTTCGACCGTAACTGCTGCAGAGTTAGTGACAAATCAAATCAACTTGTCATGGAAGGAACCCGATCCTCAGACAATTGTTATGTTTTGGCTAATGAAACTGCATGTCACCTATCTAAATCTGATGAATCAAAACTCTGGCATAGACGACTGGTTCACGTAAACTTCAGAGATATGGATAAGCTGATCAAACTAGAAGCTGTGAGAGGTGTACCTAAGATCAGAATAGATCTGGAAAGGGTTTGTGGTGCATGTGCCATTGGGAAACAAATCAGAACTTCACACAAAGCAGTAAGAGGTATCACCACTGAGAAGTGTCTAGATCTTGTTCACATAGACCTCATGGGGCCAACACAGACTGAAAGCATTCGGGGAAAGAAATACATATTTGTGTGTGTAGATGATTTCTCTCGATACAGCTGGGTATACTTTCTAAGAGAAAAATCAGAAGCATTCAAGGCCTTTAAAACTATGTGCAAAAGGGTTCAGAAGGAAAAGAATGAGTCTATAATAAAAGTTCAGAGATTGAGAAGTGATCATGGAAAAGAATTTGAGAATTCACTATACTCAGATTTCTGCTCCGAGCACGGTATATCACATGAGTTCTCAGCTCCTAAAACTGCTCAATAGAATGGTGTGGTGGAAAGAAAGAATCGAACCTTACAAGAAATGGCTAGAGTTATGTTACATGCCTCTCATCTGCCGCAGCGCTTCTGGGATGAAGCAGTACACACAGTCTGTCATACAGTAAATAGGGTCTATCTTAGACCAGGAACGACAAAAACACCATATGAGATCTGGAAGGGAAAGATGCCAAACCTGAAGTATTTTCATGTGTTCGGGACAAAGTGTTATGTGCTGGCTGATAGAGAACAAAGAGGGAAGTTTGAACCTAAGAGTGATGAGAGCATCTTCCTTGGATACTCTCTAAACAGTCGTGCCTACAGAGTCTACAACAAGAGAACTCAATCTGTGATGGAATCAGTAAATGTGGTTATAGATGACAGTACAGAAGAATCAGTAGACACAACAGTGACAGATTCAGTGGCAAAGCTTCCTCTCAGTGAACTAAATACTGCAGACAGCAACAGTCAGCCCAAATCACAAGAATCCTCAGATGAAGATCAAGAAAGTTCGGAACAGGAGACAACTCTCATAAATGATACAGGTAAAGACAAACCCACCAGAACTCAGAAAAATCACCATCAGATAACATCATTGGTGATCCAACAGATGGGATGAAGACCAGGAGCAGAATAAGAAATAATCTGATAGAAATATCTGGGTCTGCTTGCAATACCTCAAAGATAGAACCCAAGAATGTAAAAGAAGCTTTACAGGATGATCTGTGGATCAAGGCAATGCAGGAGGAGCTACATCAGTTTGATCGAAATCATGTTTGGGATCTAGTTTCAAGACCTAATGGTGTCAACATAATTGGAACAAAGTGGATCTTCAAAAACAAAACTGATGAAGCTGGGAACATTGCAAGGAACAAAGCTCGGTTAGTGGCCCAAGGGTACACTCAGATAGAAGGGATTGACTATGATGAGACATTTGCTCCTGTGGCTAGATTAGAGTCAATCAGAATTCTGCTAGCTGTTGCATGCATTCTGGGATTTACATTGTTCCAGATGGATGTCAAGACAACGTTTTTGAATGGGTACCTGCATGAAGATATCTATGTGGCGCAACCTAAGGGATTTGAAGATCCAGAGCATCCATCACATGTCTACAAGCTTAGAAAGGCTCTCTATGGTCTTAAACAAGCCCCACGTGCATGGTATGAACGCCTGACTCAGTATCTTCTACAGCATGGTTATAAACGAGGGAGTGTTGACAAAACTTTATTCGTAAAAACTACTGGAAGTCATGTCACCATTGCTCAGATCTATGTGGATGACATTGTGTTTGGATCAACTCTAACGAAATACACATATGAGTTAGTAAAAGTTATGAAGGAAGAATTTGAGATGTCAATGGTTGGTCAATTGACATACTTCCTAGGACTGCAAGCTAAGCAAAGTTCTGAAGGGTACTTTATCTCACAAGAAAAGTATGCTAAGAATTTAGTCAAGAAGTTTGATCTGGAATCATGTAAACCATCCAGGACACCGATCTCCACCTCTACAAAAGTGTCCAAAGACGACACAGGTGTATCAGTGGATAACACAGTCTACCGAAGCCTGATAGGAAGTCTGTTGTATTTGACGGCCAGTCGACCAGACATAATGTTTAGTGTTGGAATATGTGCAAGGTATCAATCTGATCCAAAGGAATTACACCTCATAGCTGCTAAACGGATTCTGAAATATATAAAAGGAACAATTCAGTATGGTCTATGGTACTCCAAGAACAGTGAACTGAGTCTGATTGCATACTGTGATGCTGACTGGGCAGGGAACATTGATGACCGTAAGAGTACATCTGGTGGTTTCTTCTTCGTTGGTAAGAACTTGGTGCCATGGCTGAGTAAGAAACAGAACTCAATTTCCTTAAGTACTGCAGAGGCAGAATACATAGCTGCTGGTGGATGCTGTACTCAGCTAGTATGGATGAAACAGATGTTATTAGACTATGGTCTTACTCAAGGAATTATGACACTCTATTGTGACAATGTCAGTGCTATTAATATCTCAAAGAATCCTGTTCAACACTCCAGGACGAAGCATATTGATATAAGGCATCACTACATCAGAGACCTGGTAGAATCAAAGGAGATTGAGTTGGAATATATTCAAACAGAGAAACAGTTGGCTGATATCCTGAATAAGCCCCTAGACGCAAACCGATTTGAGATTCTCAGATCTGCTCTGGGGATCTGCAGAATTGACTAATAGGGCAGATCGTCACTTAGAAGGAGAGTGCAAGGTTTACGTATTCTAGTCAAATTTCAGTTTTGACTTCCTTTTAAACTCCTTTTTTTTTTTGTTAAGAAAATATCTTAACCTAATTTACCATAAAAGTGATTAGGCTTTTTCAAATTTGAAATATGCCAAGCATCCGTTTCTTGCCTAAAAAGGAGGTATACCGTTGCGTCAATCACATCAGCTCTCAATGTATTCTGACTAGCTGCATTTATTGGGGTTCATCTCCCTTGGGTTTATAATCGAGTATCAAGTAAGTCTTGAGAGAACAAACAAGAGACTATCTCTGCACACAGACTGTATTCTCTTTGATCTCCTATCTAGGGTTTACTTCTTCGTCTTCTCGAATCTCTCATTAGTGGCGGATGCAGTTCGTAATATGATCATCAAGCTTGGAAGAAAGGTTCATTCACAAGAAACAGCCACCAAACATGTCAAAACAGCCACCTGACATGATTAACGAGTACTATGGCCTGCAAGGAGTCCAAGAGGAGGCTATCACTGACTGGGATGCAGTGGCTAAAACGATCACTGGTGAACAAGCTGACAGATGGCCTACTGGTGATAAGTATACTCTACCAAGCTCTCAGCTCACCTCCAAGTATGTGATTCTTCATCGTCTTGCTCTGCATAACTGGCTCCCTTTGGCTCATTTCCACACTGTCGGCAAGCAACTGGCCAGTCTCTTATTCAGAATTGGAACCAAGATGTCCTTTGATCTTGGGTCGTGGATCTATTCTCATATTCTCACTCTGATTCACCCAAGAGAACAAAAGCACTACTACAAAATTTAGAATACAAGGTACACTTTCCCCAACACCTTCACCATGAAGGTGTTGCAGAAAGAAAAAAGTAAAATTTTCTGTGACACCAACTAAGAAAAGGAGCCGCGGAAACTATATTATTAAAATAATAGCAAGGATATCCGCGACACTATCCCAAACAGGAGCCACGGAAATTATATTATTATAATAATAAAATCACTTTCCACTGCACCCACGGAGGAGGGAGCCGTATAAACTATATTATTATTATTATAATAATAATATAGCTTTCCACGGCACCCTCTGAGGTTGGTGCCGCGAAAAATAATCCCAACAGCATTATAATGTTTCTTCCATTTAGATTTTACTCTCCTCTCCACTTTAGCTTTTTCTCTCTTCCAGTAGTTTCTTCGCCGATTGGAGGGAGACAAAGCTTTAACAACGCCACCGCCACGATGAGCCGCCGCCGCCTTCCACGCACCGCCACCGCCGTTGCCGCCATCTTCAGATCTGTTCCGCCGGTAAGTTTATTTTTTTTATTTTTTTTATTTTTCAGATCTCTTTTGTTCTTGGTTCAGATCTGAGGCACTATAAAGTTTTGTGGATTTTCCTTTCTTTAATTTCTCTGTACTATTTTTTTTTTTTTCATTTGAGATTTTCAGTAAAAATTTTATGATTTATTCAGATTTAGTATCTCAACTGGTTGAGACTCGAGATCTGTCGGCTAGGGCAAAATCTGTCGAATAGCGCAACCATTTGGTGCTGCGGTGAAGAGAGACGACGGAGGATGGCTGGGTTCCGACGGTGGCGACCAGAATACGAAGAAGACACCCTGTACGGGTAAAATTTCATTTATGCTTCTTATGCTTGAAATTTGCTGAAGTAATTTGTTGTTTATCCTTACCTATGGGAAGATTCTTATTTCTTGTTGTCCACGGAGGGCTTTTTAGTGTTGATGGTGTGAAGCTCTCTAATATTAGAGCAATTGATCGGTGTGTGTGTTTTAAAATTTCTGCATGAAACAAGTTTGGGCTTGGTGGTTTGAGTTCTCTGTTTCCATATGTGAGAAATAAGCAATTTGGTAGTATACTTGGATTTCTTAACAGTTATTGTTACTTTATTGTATTAGCCATTAGGAAAAGAGAATCATGATGTCTGCAAAAAAAACAATTTTCATCCAACATGTAAAAATGCAGATTCGCTGTTAGGTATAGTGAAGCTTTATTGATTGATTGCGCTTGTATTGTTGTATCCCTTCTTCTTCCTTGTGTCAGTATCAAATACTGTATGTTTGGTTCATAATCAAGTATCTCATACTTAGTTTGATGCAATGTGAGTTTACCACCGTCTTTACTGTGGTGTATGCTCCTATAATCTTTTGCTTTTAGGGAGTTTCAAGGTTCATTGTAATGTTCATCATTATTATGATATTTAGTGGAAGCTTTTGTTTTTAAGTTTCTATTTATTAGGCATTTTAGTCTTTAGATGCTAAAATATTTTTAAAGCAGTATGGTGTTTTTAAAATATGCACCAGGCTCTTATCTAAATCAAATTGCTCCATACTTCTTGGTTTAATATTTACAGGATCACCAGAAGCCTGGCAGAATGAAAAGAACATTGCAACATTGAAGTATGCACAATATACATTGAACATTGCTCTGAAGTATGCACAAGGTTGTCTGCTCCTTACATAGGTGGTTCTTGAGCAAATGGTTTTTGAATCAATGCAGCAGCATGTAATATAAATTAATTAAGAGTAGCATACCAAAATGTTATTCTGTAATTCTGAGTATCTGACAATCTGTAATTGTTATCCAATAATACGAGAAAGAGGGGCTCAAATCATTTGTTGAAATTCTAGAAAAGTACAATCCCAATGTGGTATTAGTGGAGAAAGATGTGTCTCATGATGTACAGGAATTCATCCTCAAGAAAGGAATCACATTAGTCTTTGATATGAAACTTCATCGCCTTGAGAGAGTTGCTCGATGCACTGGTTTGCCTATCTTATCCTGTGATACATTGGCTGCCCAAAAACTAAGGCAGTGTTTATTTGAATATGATGCATGTCATTTGCTTTCCTCTGACCTGCATGGTTCTTGCTTTCCTCTGACCTGCATGGTTCTTGCTTTCCTCCTTGTGCAACTTGAAAATAAGAAATAGGTGGTTCTTGAGCAAGTCATGCATTGCAACCTTGAAGTATGCTACTGGTCAAGAAGGGGATGAGAAGGTTCACAAGGCACTTATCTATCTAGACTAGATTAATTTTGTTGTAATATTGTGAACCTTTTTTATTCCTGTAGATAGATGAATGGCTAGACTATGCTCCTATTTTTGTATCTGGCTCTGAATTTGAAGGTGCATGTGGTTATGTGGATCAATTTCTGCATCACCATAAATATATATATATATATATATATATATATATATATATATATATAATTTTTTTTTTAAAAAATAAAGTGGTATCTGCGACACCCTCTCCAGAGAGGGTGTCGCTAAAAGATAATATTAAAAAATAAATAAAATGGTTTCCGCGGCACCCACATGTTAGTGGGTGTCACGGAAATCAATTTAATAAATGACTTTCCGAGGCACCTGTGAGGTAGCAGGTGCCTCGGAAAGTCTCTATTAAAAAAATAAAAAATTCTTATTTAGCTTTCCGCGACACCCTTTATAGGGTGTCTCGAAAAGCTAAACACTTTCAATGTCACTGGAATCCGAGGCACCTGTACAGGTGACTCGGAAAGTGTTTTAAAGGTGACTCAAAAAGTGTTTTTTTGTACTAGTGAAGGTACGACTGCCCTTTCCTAATTTGATCTTTGGAATTCTTACATCTCAGGGCCTTGAGCCTATGGCGAGTGAGGTGATCAGTCCGACCCTTCTCTGTTGACCGACGTCTATTGACTGGAGATCATATATGTGATGTTAAACCGGTGACTGCCCCCTCCAATCCTGAGACTGATACAGTGGCGGATGACTCACCCCATGCACGAGATCTTCAACTCTCTATCCAATTGAAGGCGAGAGTCTCTGAGCTCGAGACAGTTCATGGCATAATTTCTAAACAGCTAACAGGGGCTCGCACGGAATTGGCCACTGTTCTTCTTCGTTTAAGCCTTACTAAGGCCACTGCTGCTGATCCTGTGAAGTCTGACAGTGAGACGCCCTCCAACGCTTGACCTGACTTTGGCTCTCTTTTGGCAAAAAGGGGGAGTGTGAAACTCAGGGGGAGTTGTTTGTGTTTGTGTACCTTCTGGCCCTGGCTGGGTGATTGACTGTGATGGCATTTCTTGTTTGAAGAATGTTTCTTGTCTTTGTTTTGATCCGGCATTACGTGTATGCTATGTTTTTATCTTTGCTATGTAATCGAATATTGGGTCTTTTTTGTTTTTTATATCCTATCTTAGTCTTTTGCAGTATTATACTTCTTTTTTATGTAGTCGAGTTGTTTTGCCAAATAATAGCTAAAGGGGGAGTTTGTTAGTGTTTTATTTGTTCGAAAAAAACCCCATCTTATAATTGGCAATATTATTATGGCATACTAAGATAGGATTAGCTTAGTGTCAGTTTTGTTCTACAGAGGACTGATCAATCAGACACAACAACAGAAGGATTGACACTGAAGATCTGTTTTAGGAAGCTGATTTCTTAAAAGCTGTACGCGGTTTTACAGAAGACAGATTTGGAAAGAAGATCAGTGTATCTGCTTTGGAAGGTATGGACCGAATCTTTAAGATTACATTCTTCAAATATTGTCCTACCATCTACAATCAAAGACTTCTATGGAAGGAGTGTTCTATCGACGGATCTATAAGTATCCTCATTCGAAGTGAATTAGGGTTACGCCTTAAGAAAGAAGAAAAACACTCCACATCAGTTTTATGAGATCAGATCTTTGATTATCATGCCTCTTCTCAATACAACATGTTCATGGTGATTAATATGACGAACTTGAGAAGAATTACTGCTGCTTAAACGAAAGGACACTGTGATCACACTGTTGTGGGAACAACTGTAAAGAGCGTCATTGAAGTGGACTGCATCAGAGTTGGCTCTCCAAGTGAAGGGATTTCATTGGACTTCTGTATGCACGGCTCTCCATCTTCAACAATCCACTAAACCCGTGTAGACTGGGTATGTACCTTGTGTGGGGCACTTGGGTGAGATTATTGTTTATCTACCTTTGTACATTGGATTATGATTTAGTGGATTGGACGCCTATGTGATCGTCCCCCAGACGTAGATACACACTGTATCGAACTGGGTAAACATCCTGTGTCATTTGCTTGTGCTGTTATCTTTTCTTCAAACATCTTTATGATCGGTTATCACTGACTGACTTCATCGCTGAATCAGTCAGTCCTTTTCATCAGTTGATTAATCCAGTTAATCTGATTAAAAAAGAGGAAATGCAAAATTACGGGTACCATCAACTTTCATTTTCCTTTTGAAAATCCACTTGCAGCCTAATGGTTTACAACCATTTGGTGGATTAGTTAAAAACCATGTATTATTCCCCATTATAGAATCCATCTCATCATTTATTGCTTCTTTCCAGAAAGCAACATCTTGAGAATTCATGGCTTCCTCAAAGGTCTTAGGATCATCCTCTATGTTAAAATAATATAGATTTTTAGCCTCTGTAGACTCCCTTGATCCTTCTATCAAGTACATTTGGAAATCTGGTCCAAATGTTTTTTCCTTTCTAGGTCTTTTACTTTTTCCAAGTTTAGGTTCCTTTGGAACCGCATGATCATATTTTTGATCATTAACTTTGGACCCACTAGAACTGGGAATTAAATCCTTAGTTCTATTTATTGATGAAAAACGATTTTCATCATAGGTAGCATCCCGGGACTCTATTACGGTATGAACCGAAATAAAGTCATTTGGTTCTATAACATAGAATCGGTATGCTTTGCTGTGTTCTGCATATCCTATAAAAATACAGTCTTTGCCTTTTTCTCCCAGAGCCTTCCGTTTAGGTTCCAGCAACCGTACAACGGCCTTGCATCCCCAAACTTTCAAATAATTCAAGTTTGGTTTTCTTTTGTGCCAAAGTTCATAGGGAGTTACCCTATTTCTTTTGTTAGGAACTCTGTTGAGAATATAACATGCAGTTAGCATGGCTTCTCCCCAGAAACCTTCACTCAGACCGGAAATTGATAACATGCAGTTTACCATTTCTTTGAGTACTCTATTTTTCCTTTTTGCTACACCATTTTGTTGTGGTGTATAAGGAGCTGTGGTCTCATGAATGATACCAATAGATTGGAAAAATAATGGGTCATAATATTCACCACCTCTGTCAATACGTAAAACTTTTACTAACTGACTAGTTTGCAATTCCACCTCCAATTTAAATATTTTAAATTTTTCTAAGGCTTCATCCTTAGAATGCAGCAGGTACATATAGCAGAGTCTTGAATAGTCATCAATGAATGTGACTATATATTTTTTATTTCCCAAAGATGGGGTGCTATGAAAATCACACAACTCACTGTGAATTAATTCAAGTAAAATTGAATTCCTTTTTATACTAGGATAAGGATTCCTAGTTATTTTATTTAACATGCATGCACTGCATTGTTCCATATTCAGATCAAAGGATGGAATTAATCCATCTTTAGCCATCTCACATACACATTTATAGTTTACATGACATAAACGAAAATGCCATAATGAAGATGTACAAACTGAATACACAGAACCAACAATATTATTAATATTCAACTTAAACATATTGTTAGTCAGGAAGCCTTGGCCTACAAAGATTCCGGCCTTGGATAAAATAAATCTATCTGCTTCAAAAACAAGTTTAAAACCACACTTGTTCAATACAATGCCAGAAACTAAATTTTTTCTAACATCTGGGGCATGATACACATCTGTGAGTGTCAACTTCTTTCCTGAAGTAAGCAACAACTCAACTTGTCCACTTGTCCAATGCCTTTGACTTTCACCATGGAATCATTTCCCATGTACATGCTTGGACCATCATTCAGACTTATAAATCTTATAAAGATTTATATCCTTGCAGACATGTCTGGTTGCCCCAGTATCAACCCACCACGAGTCATCAATCTACATGACACAAATTTCAGATATCATAGCAATGAAATTTTCAGTACTATCAGAAACAAGATTAATTATTTTACCTTGTTTCCATTGGCCACTTCCCTCGCCATGATCACCAGAATTTTTACCTTCTATTTGTGTCTTTCTTTTCTTCCAGATTTCACAGTCCTTTTTAAAGTGTGGACCGTTGCACACCCAGCATGTTACAGATGCCTTTCCTTTTCCTTTTCCTTTCTTCTTAAACTTTGAAGAATTTGTGGCCTTTCCCGGCTTCCCTTTCCCTTTACGGTTCCCACTTGATTTGCCTTCATCAACATAGTGGATGACAGAACCTGAAGCCCCGGTGACTTTTGCACTGCCTGCATTCTTACTTTCCTGCAGTCTGATTCCCTCCTCAACCCGAAGGTCGACCCCCAATTGTTCCATGGTAAGAGCTTCCTTTTTATGCTTTAAGGTACGTTGTACCTTTTTCCAGGAAGGGGGCAACTTATCAATGATACTGGCTATGGCAATGGAATCATCCATATGCATATCATGTTGCCTCATTTTCCCAAGTATCTTGACAATCTCATGAAATTGTTCCATGACCGGACGTTTGTCCACCATTTTATAATCATTGAACTCTCTTACCAGGAATTTCTTACCGGAGGCATCCTCAGATATGTGTACTTTGCTTCAAGTACATCCCAGAGGTCCTTTGAGGATTCCTCATACTGATAAATATCAAAGAGGGTGTCAGACATACCGTTCAAAATATGGTCATGGCAGGCAAGGTCATCATTTTCCCATTTGAGTCTCCGGCGAGTTGCCTCGAGAGTCTCATCTTCCCGTTCCTCCGGCTTTGGAGTACTTAGTACGTATGCCACGTTCAGAGCCGCAAGGAGGAAATTCATCTTCTTCTGCCACCTACGGAAGCCCACGCCTTCAAACTGCTCCAACTTAGGGAAGTTGGTTGCAAAGTCCAGAAGTCCAGAACTCATCCTTCCTCAGAAACAAATATTTAAAGCTTATAGATTGTTAGAAAAATAGGAGTGTTTGATGATAGGGAATTGAGGAAACGAGATCTTCAGACGTGTAATCACTTTCCTATAAGCTTTAAATCTCCCTCAACTGAAGCAACAAGGTTCAAGATTTAATCTTATGGGATACAAGAAGATGATGAAATTCTTAAGTTGCTTTGTTTAAAAATTTCCTGTAGAAATGCAGTACTGTGAAATATCATAGTCTTATGCAAGTTTATTGCATATGCTTTTTCAGACATTTCTCCACATATTTATAGATGTAAATATAGCAGTTTAGA